TCTGAAGGAATCTTGCAAGTGATCTTGGTAAAGAATGAAAATCACAAGGTAAGTAAATATACCATCTTTATGCCAGATTCTCAAACTTAGAGAGAGAATCTTGAGGGATGTCGCTAATTAAAGAGTATAATTACAAATGAAATAAGGGTTACTATCCACAGGTATGATTTATTTATTTATTTTAAATAAAAGGTGGTAAGATACCTCACAAGGCATGAAACAATAACAAAAATTTCAGAACACGTCAACAAAAACCAAAACTTTGCATCAATGTCACTGGTTTCCATTAAAGAACATTCTGAAACTCAATAACTCAAACAGGTGGGAGGAGCTGGTCTTATATAGATGTATTTCAGAAACAGGTACTATAAGATAAGGGGACCATATAAGCAGTATTCGTCCTTAGAGACTGAATTTGTGCAAACTGTGTAAAAGTATTGAGCAAAACTAACAGGTTGCTTTGAATAGAGCCATGATTTAAACATTCCTGTGACTGACAAAGGAAGCTGTTCAGTGTTGGATACAATAAATCTTCACCTGACTAACTGCAGGCCTGCCAGATCATAGCTGTGAGAAATAAAATCAGTCATTTCAACACAATTCTTTAAGTTACGGTATTACCTAGGGAACTGGTATTAACAAAAACAAAGAAAACACTGGATGAATTTTCTAATGTCTTAAGTTCATTCCAAGTTCAACCCTAGGACTTAGGGCAGTTTACATTACAACGTAAGCCCAGGGTTCAAACTAAGGCTCAACTCTAACCCCCCTTCCATCTACACAAAAACTGTGTTAACTCAGGGCTCAGATCCAGGATCCCAGGACCTTGCGGGGTTGGAAGGCCCGAGCCTGACCCAACTTGGACCCAGGGTTCAAGCCTTATTGCTTTGTAGTATAGATGCTGTCCCAGCGGACTCGGGCTCTGGGAGTTTGCCAACAGTATTCCACAGTCCCATAGGCTGACTCTCTTGCCCTCTGGAGTCAAGTTTGGTGGACATTCAAGTTTTCCCACAGTGCACCACAAACAAAGGGCTAGAGCAACCAAATTTTGCAGAGGGTACTAGGAAGTCTGGAAGACGGGTGGTTGGACTCAAATGTGCATAATGAAGTATAGATGCTGGAGCCCCAGGTTGGGACCCATGGTTCAACAAGTAATGGCAGGGTTTGCTAACTCAAATTCTACTAACCCTAGGTTTACATTGCAGTGAAGGCATACCCTCAGAGGCATGATTCAAAGCAGGATCCACGTGAATGTATGCTCCAAGTACTTAGAAGACTATTCTGTGGGTTGTTGCACTGCCCAATTGTGGGTCTAGCTCCCCGCTCCCATTCTCAAGTGCACCTCCACAATCTGAATTAATGAGAAAGGAACAATCAGGAGTGGAACACATGGCGCACAGCAGAGGGCCAACCTGAGATGGGCTTGTCCACACAAAGGCTCATAGCTCGATCAGTTCAGGGAGAAGGTGTTATCAACTCTGCGGACCTGGCATCAATGGAACATAGAAGAATAAAAACCACTACAGATTGTCCATGGGAGACCAAACTGCACTTGGTAAGTCTGTCAAACATGCTATTTCATGGGAGATAAACAGCCCCTATTGCCCCTCTTCCACCACTGGAACCTTTGCTGAATGACTGCTGAAAGCCAACACACAGACTGTACTACTGAAGTCTCTCATTGACCCAAAAAATTCAGGCAGAACCCTTGAAGCATGAATCATTTTTGGTTGTACTTTCCCTGTTCCTATGAGTGCATCTTACCTAGCATTTGGAAGTATTTCACACTTCTGGGCACCAACTCATTTTAAATAATAAATAGTAAGTAAACCAGCTGCATAGTTATGCCCTGTTGAAAAACCACCAATGTACCAACTAAAATTGTTGCTATTGATTGGAAATCAGACAAAGGATACTCTGAATCTTGTTTAAAGAACTATGAGCAATAGGAGCCATAGCTGAAGTTGAGAATCACTGGGTAACATTTATGAGGCAGCTTCTTCACTGAACACTATCAGAAAAGGACTGACTGAAATGTTCTGGGGCCTCAACTCAGGTGCCTGGAACATGCCCCGTCGGGTAGTGTTTAGAGCAGCGGTTCTCAACCCGAGGCCCAATCAACACACAGCTGTGGCCCCATGTAACATGCTCAGGGCCATAGTTAGTATATACATGATGTGGCTGCAGCCCACATACTACACAGAGAGCTGCATATGCGGCCCACAATGGTAAATAGGTTGAGAATCACTGGTTTAGAGGCATGAGCACCAAGAGTGAGAATTATGCACTCATGATACCTTTAGAGAAGATTATAAACTTCATCTCTGGTAGCTCCCATTACACTAATATCTCTAAGTCATTTGGCAGAGGTGGGTGCACAGAGATGTTTTGAGGCTGAATTAATGGTTGTAAAATGCTATGAGAGTCTAAGATGAAAGGAACTAGAGGAGTGCCATTATTATGTTATAATTCATACCAGCAGAGTATCTTGATCCTATTACTGTACATCCCAGACTATTATTCATCAGCATGTGATTTAACTAAGGCTACAATGAGGTCACGGAGGTCACCAGTGTCATGGAACCTGTGAAATTTTGCCATTTATGTGCTGCCCTGCTTTAACAGTTTGTTAGTCTACTTTGATCAGCTGCCACGCATTAACAATTCGCTAGTTTGCTCTGATCTAATCACATTTCAAAGAGGACTAGATCAAAGCAAACTAAAACTGTTAACATGCAGCAGCAGCAGGGTCCACAAGGTTCCCATTATTATAGTGTGAAATTATCTATTTCTTACCAAGACTGTGCTGTGAATTACGAACTGTTTTATCATGACAAAAATCGTATCTGTAGATTTAATATATAAGCCATATCAGATGCACATGCAGTTTTAGCTTATTACTCTCCTTCAAGGTCAGAATCTGGGAAGAATGGATTTCTTTTTAAAAAAAAAAAGAAAAGATACTTGCTACACTGTGACCAACAAGCAATTTTCCTGCAGACAGCCTGATTAACTGGGAGAATCATAATTATTTTTTCAAATGGCATGAGATCTGACAAACAGTGAACAATCAGATATACATATAACAATAAGCATCAAACCACACTAGGAGTAATAATTCAAGATACGTCCTCACCATTAGTCTATTCTGACCATTAGTCCTCAAGAAATCAGTCATTAAGTTCAGCAAAAACTGCCTTATGGAAACCAGATTATTATCACAAAAATAGTAAGTCCTTTCATTCTCCTTTCTGCCGCTCTACATAACCCACTGTATTTATTCCACCCTCAAGGTTGCAGCTAATGTATTGCATCTATTGATTCCAAGGCCAGAAGGGACCATTGTGATCATCAAGTCTGATCTGTATAACAGTCCATAGAACTGCCCCAAAGTTCCTAAAGCATATGTTTTGGCATGAAGATCCCATATCAGGCCAAGTCTATACTGAAAAATTAGATTGACATAGCTATGTTGCTCAGGGTCGTGGAAAATGTCATGCCCCGAGCACCATAGTTAGGTCAACCTAACCCCTTGTGTAGAGGCAGCTAAGTCAATGGAAGAGTTCTTCTGCCAACCTAGCTACTGCCTTTTGGACAGGTGGATTAACAATATCGATAGAAAAACCCCTTCCATCAATGTAAGCAGCAGCTACACTACAGCACTACACTGGCACAGCTGCATGCCATCACTGGACCATTGTAGTGTAGATATACACTCAGTGTTGTGGCAAATTCTGTAGATGTGTGTGCAACTTAACATTCAGGGTAGAATTTAGATTAACAGAGTGAGGGTAGGAAAAGAAAAGCATACAGGGATTAGGGAAACAAGGGTAGACTAAAGAGACCCGATAGCACACACTTCTGCATATCTTTACATCTGCATTCTTTTAAAGTCAAATTTGACTTCTTGCATCTTCAAAATAAAGTCTCTGTCAGCAAGGCAGGCCAGCATCCCCTTATACTCCCCAATCGTTGGCTCTGCTTTATCTACGGCTGATGCCCTGTTGTCTCTTTCCTTCTCTACACCTTGCTTCTCTGGCTTTACTTCTCTCCTCCCTTAGTTTCCATCCCCTCCAGTTCGTTGTTTTCCTATATACTGAACCAATCCATTGCATTATCTGTGATATGGGCCTACAAAGTGAAACAAATTCTTTGGTGAATGGCACTCTGCAGCTAGGAGTATGCACACAGCCCTAATCAACAAAGCAAAGAAGCTAGTCTGTGCCACTGTGCGATCAAAGATGCTATATAAACGTATGGGGTCATGGAAAGACAACTTGGGAAAAACTGGCCAGGCACTAACGCATAGAAGCAGGATTGCAAAAACAGGATGAGTTTACTTAGTGCGGCTCTACTTAGTAACCTAATGACATGCACACAGTCCAAATCAAAAAAGCAAAGAAGATAGTCTCTGCCATTGTGACTGCTCTGTTCCCTCATGCCATGGGATGAAAAGCAGATATAGTCAACCATACTAATGTTGGTAAGCTGCTACTGTAAGAGGATACCTAGAAACATCTTTAGTTATCACAAAATAAGTAACTGTATAATTTAAAACAGTTGTATTATAAAATGTCTCAGTAAAAAAAAAAAAAAAAAAAA